AATTCATATATTTATATATTTAATAAACTCTTATCTATCAGTAATATATAATAGTGTTTCCATTTTGAGCATAACTTTTGTCATTAATAATGAGATAAAACTCTTAAAAAGTGTTGTTTTTTGTATATTTTGCGAACAATTCATTAAACATTTTCATGATAACGTTAGTCAATAAATAACCAATAGATTGGGTAAAACAAAAACTGAGACCTTATAGTATGGTTTAAGTCTAAAAATGTCGATTAGTTTGAGGCCATTCGCGTTCAATCATTTCGATTAAATCTTTTTCACTTATGTTTTTCATCTCTTCAAACCTGTCATCACTTTTGTTGTCATATTTTGTTAATTGAGCCAAAACTATACACAAAGTATTCAAAACATTTATGTATTCAATTAAGTTAATCGTAAAAAGTTTTTTGCATAAAGAGTTGAGACATTGCAATGAGTTTTTTCAATTTCAATCAATCCATTCAATCATTTGAATCATTCACAGAATATTACATCGAATTTCGTTTCGTCGACAAAACTTTTGAAAGTTTTAAATAATTTTCCAATTCTGTAGACATACATGAATTACAAATTAAATGTTTTTTCTTTTCAAAAGTTCTAATACTTTAAAGAACTCTTGATTTACTCTCAAAAGTTTTTTCATTCAAAAATAAATAGGAAATTGAAATTGAAAATTAAGGAAATTAATCAAGTATAAATTACTAGTAATTAAAAACAAAATTAAAACAAACCTAAAAAATCAAATAAAACAAAATGTAATTTAAAATCAACATTAAGCCAAAAGTCCTTAAGAACTCGTGCTGTCATTATTAGCTATAAACAGATGCAATAAAACAATACAAGTTTAAGACAAACATAAAAAATAATTAAAAATCCACTGAAAAGCAAAACTAAGGAAATGCTTGAATACCTGCCACTATGCGACTCCTTTCCATCACCTCTTTGGCCAACTCGTGGTTGAGTTGCAACAACTGAGCCCTACGTTTCTTCTCTTCATTCAACTTCACTCTCGACTCTTCACTCAACACATTCTCTTCGGATCCGAGCGCTGATGAGGAGGAAGACGACGATATGATGTGTTGATTGCAATCACGTCTCACGTCTTCATATGTGGAGCTCTCGGATAACATCTTTCTAATCATCTCCGCCTTCAGACTTCGCTTCAGCTTCTCTGAGGCGGACATCTCTTCGGGCTCGTCATCGCGTATATAGCGCTCAGGGATTTCAATCTTTTTCGGGAGCATTATCTGTACAACAATTTTAGACAATTTAATTGATTTCCAACTCATTGTTAGTATTGTTTTGATGGACAGACTTCGCGTTCAATGGCAGACAACTTGTCGTCAAAATCCTCGCAATTCTTTTTAATAGTACTCTTAACGATGTCTGGAGTGTTAACAGTAGCCCTCAGTTGAAGATCTGTATCATCGCGTGAACGCCATATCTTTGAGATCTGATTCAAAAATGAAAGCATTAATTAGATATGAGTTGCGATTAATGAAAGGATATTCACAGGGAATAAACTAAAGGCTCGAGAGAATAATGAATATAAAAAAGATATTAAAAATGCAAAAAATTGTCGGCAATTGAATGGAAATGTGTACCGAATTATAAGTTTGATTGACTGCTAAGTGGGGTTGACTGCTAGATATGGTATGATGTCTGCGAGTGGGCCCGAGTCGGCCGTATTTGGACTCAAGTCGACGAACGCGTGTCAAACGAAACGGAAAAGGAGTAGAAGAAGAAGACAACAGAGCGGAGGAAGAGTTGGAAGAAGTAGAAGGAAGTGAAAGGGAGGCACTTCTCGTGCGCTCAGGCCTAGAGAAGAGCTGTCAAATAAAATGTTGATAACGATGTTTACATGCATTTAATGGCATTCATGAAATTATAAAACTAGTCAAAATAAAAAACTAATTTATAGTCAATTACATTTTCAATCAATAGTATATACATTACATTACAAATTCATGCTTTGCATTCACTATTTCAAAGTGTTTTTTGTCTAATCTATTGTAAAATTAATGTTCACCTCTTGTTGCGGATGCGATAATTGGGTATCATTTGACAAAAAAATTGATTTATTAGTGGTATTTGAGTTGTGGAACAAATGAGTTCTTCCAAACTCAGCGGTAAGACTATCGATCATACAGTGGGTGTCATCATTGCACTGATCCTTTGAGCCGAAAGTGTTGAGAATGTCATCGTTTTCGCCGTAATCGCGGTCTTCATAATAATAGGGCGGAGGAATGGATCCGATGCCGCCCACAGCACCCGATGCACTAAACTCGCTGTCGTACTGACCACTACTCCAGAACAGATCCATACTCTTTGACGATCCGTTCGAGAAATGGATTCTTCTTCTCTCGGCCTCTCTTTTGACAATTCTTACGGTTTTTGGTTCGTTTGGCTTTTGCGGTAAAATCCCATAGAATTGTCTCATCTGTTCGTCAACGATGTCTTCAGGGTTTGTCGAAAGCAAGTCATCCGTGGCTTGAAATTGACTCAACAGGAGATCATTTGAATTATTCAACACATTATTCTCCAGATTCTCATAGAGAGGATTGTCTTCTCCATCCGGACCACAATTTCGCGGACAATGTGCGAGATCTCTGGTTTTCAATGAATCCATATCTGTCTCCATATAAGTAGTGGTGATCTTCTTCTTGCCGGGCAGTGGTACAGATCCGGCCAAACCTGTGGGACTCGCTCTCACAATCTCTCTCTTCTTCTCAGTAGTCTTGATGGTCTCAATGGCGGCGTTCAGTTCCACTCGTCTACTGTGCAGGTCATCGATCACTTGGTTTATGTGCGCCAACTCTTCCTCCAGAGTGGAGGCTCTGTTGCTTTCGATGGCCTCTTCGTTGGCCAAAACCTGTTTGAGTTTATTCTTGGCGATGAGGACGTCGGCCTCGATTTGTGCGTTTTCTGCCGCCTTTTCCTCCAGACGTTTGGCTGAATGTGAGAGAAGACCTCTCACTCGACTCAACTCCGACTCAATCATTCTCTGCTGTTTCTTCAGTTTCTCCAGATTTATCACCGGAACTGATTCGGCGCCGACTTTCGCCACTTTACTCTTCACGCCCTCGAGAGTGCGTTCGAGAATCTCTTTGTCCTGTTGTAAAGCCGACAAATTGGTGGTCTCCTCCTCGAGCGACACCTGATCTAAGAAGGAAGTGGAGGCGGCCTTCGCTTTATTGTCGGCGAACTCTTCACTGTTGAGCGGATTATGCATTTTAACCATATTGTCGACGGCGTTGATCAGCGAGAACTGCATTTCGTACTGTTTCTCGTACTCAACCAACCGTTCCCTCAGGTCTCGGAACTTGAGTTTATGTTCTTCGCGTCTGTGCGGCTCGATCTCAATCATCTTCTCTTCGCTTTCCATCTGAAGTCTCAATTGATCACAATTTTTGGCGAATTGGGATTGAGTTCGTCTCAACTGAATCAGTAGTAAAACCAATTCTTCGTGAGATTTGCCCAATAGATCACCCGTCGAGACACACAATCGCGAGGACTTGTGGTCACGCAATGACTTAGGCTTCACGTGCATAGGTTTGCTTGAGATTAGGTTTGGCTTTGGGTTGACCTCGGAGTCGGAAGCATTCAGATCATCCTTCGAGCGCCTCTTGTGAGAAGAGCGACGCTTTCGGACTTTCTCTGCCATTATTGGACCCGAGACTGAGTCTAAAACATAAGACAATACCATTCATAAGAATCACTTATTTTTGAAGTTTAAAATGAATGAAATTTATAGTTTTTTAAGAGTATAGTATGAATATATGATATAATGAATGGCAGTTAACAATAGCAATGGACTGTTTAATTATGTTAAAAAGCGGTCGACTCTTACCTGTGGACAACTCAATCAAAGAACTCAAATCTGATTCACTTTCAGTGAAGTCATCAAAACCTTTATCAAAACTTTCAGATAATGGCACCGATTGTTGACTCAATGACGAAGACTTGACGCTAAAGTTATCTCCAAAATGTTTTTTACTTACTCTCCGCAGAACTTCAGTCCCCATAAAGTCTTCATCCGACACATTATTATCACTTGTATTAAAAATAGCATCGTTTTCGTGGGCAGTGGGTTGGAGTGTCTGTTGGTCTATGTTTTCATAGATATGTCTACTGTTTTGCTGATCCATCAGACCCTCCAAAGATTTTGAGCGACGTTTTAGAGATAAAAAATTATCGGGTAAACAATTTTGGGCATCACTTTGGAGGTTTGTCTTAGTGTTAGATGAATGGCTTAAGTCGGGTGTAATACACCTCTTGTTGTTAGTATAGGAAGCAAATGACTTATCATTTTGAGGCACTTTTTGCAGTGTATTTCCCGCTTCGTATTTATTGCGCTCGGAATCAATAAATTTGGACACATTTGGCAATAATAAGGATTTCAATGAATTCTCAATTGTTTCCGTAGTTTGAGTTTGCGTTGGACTTTGAACGGCATTATTAGTGGTAATGGGATTTGTTATGCAATTATTGAGCGAAACTGTGGAATCATTTTTGTTAACAGAGTTTAAGTTGATATTATTGACCCGTTTTCCGACATCACATTTCTGGAGAGATGTCGTTCCCAAATAGCGGGTGTTATTCAGTGCATTGCATCGGGAGAGCAGTGGCGGCGGTGAACCCGTTTGACGGGCCGCCAGCTTCTCCTGCAATGCGATCTGTTGTTCCTCTGACAACAGGTCTGACATATAGTAGGGTGCGTTCGGAGATCTCTGCTTCTCAGCACTGGTATGCTTCTCAGCACTGGTATTGTTATTGTTTATCTCATTAGTGGTGACAGTCTTCTCGGGAGTCACCTCACTAGTGGCTACTTGTATGCCATCAAACGCTTCGTAAGCGGGATTAGGGTTAAGAGCCAATTGGTTGGACACGTTGGGCACCGGCTCTGGTCGGGGCTTCTTATATGTCCGCACTTTACAGCCGGCCTTTAGTTTGATATCATTGTCTGTTATGATGTCTGAGTGATGGACAATACAATCAAAGTCACGACTGGCCTCATCGTCGGCGTCATCGCCGGCATCGCTCTCTTTGTCGCCCTCTTCGCCATCCATAGCAACGTAAACGTCTTCCTCTCCTTTGACCACTTTATTCATATTCAGATAATCTGATTGTTGGCAACCATTTGGCTGCACTTCATGTGTACTCGACTTATTGGTGCTGTTGTCGAGTAACTGAAGAGCGCCTTTGGTTGCAATCACTTCCTCTACTTTTGACGGCTTCTTAAGAAGAAATTCATTTCGTGACAGCGAATAGAGTTTCTCTTTGCGTACGTCAGCCGTCTTTCTGAGATCAGCCAACACTTTGGTTAAGGGGGAGAGCATTAGAGGGGCCGACTTGGATGTGCTGTTCTCTTCATCACCTATGGATGAGTTGTTGTCAAGTATTTCACTGTCACTCACATAACTCTTTGCAAACACATTACAGCCATTGAATAGCGGTTTAGCACTGGTTTCGCATTTGAAGCTATAGTTTGTTTGATTCACTGCCTCTCCGTTATAGTGTTTGCTCTCATTTGGACTGACAATCGGTTTCGCATTTTTATTATCAAATTCACTGAATTTTTTGAGCAAACATTTCACAGAATATTCGTCCACTCCGTCCCCATCTTCGCGCTTATCTAAAGTGAATTCACGCTTTGGACTCTCGATTGCACTCTTTGTCTTTGATTCCGTGTTATTAGTGATTCGTTTGAGACTTCTTCGTGAGGCAGTCCTGGCGAGCACTGTCTCGTCGGGCACTGGTAGGCCCACATCAGTCCAGTCCTGTTTGTTGAACGTCTGGCCAATGCTGTCGTTCTTACTGCTGACCGACTCATTAAAGCTGACGGGACTCATGAGAATACTCTGTCGCCCGGACTCACAGAATCTCTGGTAAAACATTGTCGACGCCTTATAGTAATCCTCTTTACTTATATCCAAATCTGACTCTTTGTCCGCTTCTGTCTCTTTGCCAAATGAGTTAATGTTTATATAATCAGGTGTTGTCTGACCTTTCATTGTCTCATTCGGTCTTTCATTGTAAGGCATTTGCAGATTAAATTCGGCTTAAGTTTCAAAAACAAATGGTTTAAGAGTTTAATATAGTTTTCTTTTAAATCCGTTTTTTTTGGTTTTGATTTTTGAAGAAAAAAACTCACAAAAAGAAGAGGTTTTATGAGTTTTATTATTAGTTGTTTTGTTAGTCAAAAGTCCGTCAAAAATTGATTTCGAGAAATAATTATTTTATTGAATGATAACCGGTTTTAGTGGAGAAGAAGAATAAGAAAAAAGTATTTTATTTTGAATTAAATATTTCTTATTTAGTGTTAGTTTCCAGATATTTGAGCTCAAGATTGAGTTTAAGTCAAGTCAACCGTTAGTAACACACAAACAAAAACTTATTTTTCCATTATTTCGAAGTAAATTATGTTTTTCTTTCATCGCCTCAAACATAGAGTTTTTTGACTTAAGCCAACAAATTGTTAATACAGTGAAACAGAGTTTTAACATTTCATACAAACAATTAGTTATGTCTATCAATAGGAGAATGCATTGAAAAATATTAATAAAAATATTCATATAAAGAAATCGCAATTTTGTTAGTAATTGGCATTAAATTTGATACTTTTATAAACATATTCAAAGAATTTAATATAATATAAGAATGGATGCAATGAATGGTATGAATGAATGAAGTAAATAGAGATGTAAAATGATAGGAAATGGATAGCATTTGTATGCATACATACCCTCGTCATCTGATGAGTAGTTGACGGGAAGGCTCTTTTGTGGCGATTGTAAGGTATCCTCAGTTTGTGTCACGAAATCACTTCCATCTCCAATACTCTTTGATCTCTCCCTTTGTTTGTATGGTTGTTGCGGAGCGTAATCCCTATCCCTCTGTTGGGGGCCTTTGAGCGCATCCTTTATCGTGAACTTTGATCGATATTCTTCAGGTAGTGGTGGTCTGGAGGGCAGTTCCATAGACTTTGTACTTTGTTGTTGCATCGGTGGCTGTTGTTGCTGTTGTTGTTGAGACCAATTCCTCTTATTGAGCGGCGACTGAAGCATCCGTTGCTTCCATTCAAGCAATCGCTGAAGACTTTCCTCTCTTTGATAGTTTCGAGGGGTTTCTGCGTCCAAACCATAAGAGTTGGCATTCGATGAGTGATAATGAGGTAAATGTGAAGACGAAAACTGAGAGAGGGTTTGATTTGGCATTTGATTATCGCTTTGCGGAGACGTGATGGTCGTCCCAACCAAGTAGTCAGACCAGGGACGGGGCTCTTTGCCGGTCGAGTTGGGCGCCGGGGGATAGTGCGGAGGCGTCACGTAATTGGTTTGCTGCTCAAAGAAGTACCGGGAGTAGGGATCGTAGCGATCGAGACTGGATTTGGGGCGGACGGGCATTATATTTGAGGTCTCATTAGTTTGCGTGGAGTAGTAGTTATCAGGCCTTTGGGCGCCGTCAGCAAAACCATTGGAACCGATTATCTTTTGGCATTCGTCTTCGTCTTCGTCCTCTTCCTGATCGCGTTCGAGAAAGTCAGCCGAATGTGGCCGCGGAGGCAGACGCGAGAACCGGGGGGTATGACTGGGAGGTGGGAGACGGTATTGTGGGGGCGACTGCTGCTCGTATGGCGGATATGATTGTGTGAAGTAATTAGTATTTGGCAGATAATTGCTGTTATAGGAGTCGTGTGCGATTAGGTCAGGCGTCTGATGACTGTTGTGATGATATTGTGCCGACGGAGGGATGACATACAGGTCTGAGTTGTCATAATACTGACGCTTTGGCTTTGGGGGTGCGTTCACATAGTGTGACCTTTGGATCGGTCTTTGCTGCGGGTTTTGCTGATAAACCACTGGAAGTCCAACCGAGTTGTAAGAACCGGGATATTTGTCATCGGAACCAATATTGTTATCATACGAGTGATTATTATTGATGGCACCGGAGTTGGAGCGCCGGGACTGGTATGAGGCGAAGCCTGACTCTTCCTCGTCGTCGTTATTGGCCGTCACTTCCTGTCCGTCGCCGTCGTTGCGAACCGTAGAGAAAGCGGACGACAATTGCATTATCGACGCGAGGGATAAGGAGTTCATCCATTGGGTCTGACATTCCTTGGAGTCGGCGGCGAAGTAATAGGTCTTCATATTGTTGTGCTCGGCTTTGAAGGCATACTTGCGAGCGATTCCGTCCTCATTCAGACAGGGAGTTATCTTATAGCTCGGCAGTAGTAGTGATCCTAACAGCCTTTCCTCTTCCATATCTACACAAAATATATAATAAAAAAATTATTTTTCGTTTGAGTAATGATCCAAACGGCGAGTATTTGTCATCGACTCTAATATAATGTCAAAACAATTTTGTGATAAAACAATGAGAATAATGGAAACAAATAGAGAGTTATGATTTAGAGGAGAGAGAGAGAGAGAGAGAGAGAGACTTTTGATAGTGAACCTCAAAAGTGTGTAATCAGAAGATGAAAATCTCAAGAGAAATACAAAAGCCTTTGAAACGAAACGAAACAAAAAGTTAATTATAATTAAAATCTAAAGAGTAATGAGAATAAAAAGAGAGCAAAAAATACAAACAAGATTTGATTTATTATTCACTATTAAATTAATTGGATTAATGTATGTGTAAAATGTAGTGAATATCACGAATTACAGGACTAATGATAATTACTTAAACAAAGAGTATTCTTGTATTCATCAGACAATTAATAGTTATTGGAAATGGAGATAAAGGTTTAGTAGAGAAATAATTTTTGCATTAAATTATGAAAAACTCAATAATAATTGTTTGAATTGAAAACTGAGCGCATCTTTGAAATATGCGATCGTATGGGATATGAGTTACAAATTACAGGAAAGTAGTGAATCGGATACCTTTGTAATAGAAGAGACAGTAGTCTGCGAGGACACACCACCTCCTCTTCCACTGCTTGAGGGCCGCGCCCTCCAGCCGGTAGAGCCAACTCCGGAGAGTGACCTGAGATTCATTAGAGCGGCGAACGGGCGGCGATCGCAACGAATTGCCTTTCCGTTTGTGTAATTGCAGTCTCAGTCCATCCATAATAGTGTGGCTGTCGTTGTCTACATTGACCGGCAAATAACCGATAGGATTGTCTGCATAATAGTACGCGTAGTCGTTGTCCGGCCGATACAATGGCGCTCCGGTCCTGCTGTTCACCACCAGCTCTTGCAGGTCGTGGCCATTGACACCATTCTTCGGGTGCGGATAATTGAGCAAATGTTCACCCGATTCAAGTGGTCTGCGGATAAATAAAAAACATTAGTATTGCAAACATAGTATTAAACTATAGCACAAAAAATCAATTCAAACGTTTGCACTAAAATGGGATCACAGATTAGATGAAAAAATCAATTGTAATGAAATGTACCTATGATTGCAACAAATAAATTTAGTCCAGTCCCATATACCCCAGTGCTCCATATTCAGGTTATTATATGTCTTATGTAACATAAGATAATTAACTATAATTATTGGTCACTAATACATTGATAGCATTTGAATCCATTTGATTGCAAATCACATTCTGATACACAATAGTAACACATCTACTGATTGAGCCCTAAATGTCAACTAATTCTCTATTATATTATATCTGTGGCTAACGACCAAAATTCAATGATCTCTCTGTTCGCATGCTCTGCGCCCATAATATTGATCTCTCTCTCTCTCTCTCTCCGCTCTCTCTCCGCTCTCTCTCTCTCTCTCTCTCTCTCTCTCTCTCCGCTCTCTATTTGTGTCTCAAAACTCTTCTCACGACTCTCTAGTTATCTCTCATTCCACTCCTTCCAGTGTTTCTCTGCATCCTTTGCCAGAAGTTTATGCGCTTCTCATCCGAAAGTATTAGTGAGGACTGAGAGCATAGACTACTGACAGATATCTACTCAGACTTAACAAACGTATCCTTTTTTCTAAGCGTTTGATTCAATGAAAAGACAGAAAAAATAATATAAAGAGTGAGAACGAGAAGTGAGAAAAACAGTGATTGAGTGAAACTAACTGACAATACATATGAATAGCAATGAATGGGTGATAAGAATATCCAAATGTGAACACAAATCACAAAAACGATTATTGAATTGATAGCAAGAATTATATTAAATTTTTATTTATATATTTTGAATACAACACTAAAAGTCAGCATTTATTCAGTTCCTATTGTGTCGTCACTTCAATACAGACCACATTTGAAATAAATATAATGTTATATTATATCCCATAATATGAGATATTAAATAATATTCTGTATACTGACTTACTGCATAAAATATTTTAGTTGTGGTCGACTCGACAACAATTGCTATGAATACTAATGTGAAGACAAATAAATCAATTTATACTATAAGTCTAATTGAATTTCACGTATAAATTGCCTCTAAATTGAGTTATACTCATATCTTATTAGATATAGAGATATAGATTAGAAAAGGGACAATCAAATGATAACAAATCTAATAATAAAATCTGAATAGTGTATGAAATATCATTGTATCGTATTATATATCATAAAAGAAATATATAAATATCGCAAAATATAACAAAACATAAGGTTTTGTCATTTTATTGAGGCTTTTATTCAATGGGATGAATGCAAAACAATTTGACAGTCAATGCATACTTCTGTCATATTATAAACTTATTGTCAAAATATTTGTATAAATAACAAAGTTTTTATTAATAATAGACATACCATAGAAAGCGTTATCCGATAAAAATAGGCTTTGTTTTGAATATATTAATATTATTCATTAAAATGTATCACATATTTGTCTGTTTAGATAGTTTGGTAAAACTTATTCATTAGACAAACAAAAAGCACAAAATTATTAAATATATGAATAGAAATAGGGCTCGAATTACACCGGAATTTTCGTATTGAACACAAGTGTACTGTCAATGCATTGATAACTCCAATAAAAGTAAAACAAAAACTTTGTTCACAAAACTATTTTTCACTTCAAATTGTTCGCCGACTGACTGTTCACATGAAGTCAGACGAAGAATATTTCACATATAAGTAGAGAAGTGTTTGAGAAGTGCTTTAAATAATGATTGAAATGATAATCTGAGACATGAAGTGAAGAGCGGATTCGAGTAATGAATAAATTCTCGTCCATTGAGTGAACAGATCTGTTGAGGAGTGTTGTCTTCTTTATGAGAGCTGACACAACAAACACAACACAGATATTGGTTTATGTCTGACGAGAGGCTCATAGGCTCACAGTCTCCACAGTCTCACTACTGGCCCTCATAGCAACCCATAGCCGAATCGAGTATCTCTTTTCTGTATCCCCGTATCCCTCTGTGGGACTGGTAGTAGTGATTGGTATGGTTTGTGAGAGTAGTAGTCGTGTTCTCATGTGCTCTCCTCTCGACTGTATTTCGCTTAAAATGCCGACGAATAGAGTCTCAACGGTTGGGTCAGTGCACTAGACGAAGGCCTAAACTTTAAACTATGGTTTGGTATGCCTTACCCTGTATGCCAATCGTTGTTAAGGAGCACCAGTTTCTCTGGCACTGGCAGTCAGAACTGTTGCATGAGTTCCCCCACCGATGTGTTGCCCTTTAATGCTTAAGGCAATGAGGAAATGTATTAGACTCTAAGACATGCATTACTTACTTAGGCTTAACACTGTTCCAACATAACAGCACCGATAGGTTGAGTCGAAACACCACTTTTCAAGGATTTTCTTTATTAGTTTTCGAAACACTTTATATAAGACTTCATAACTAGAATTGGAAGAGATTTTTGGGAACTAAAAAAAGTAATGTAATACTGAGAGAGATGAGCTGAGATTGCTCATAACTTTCGTCAAAAACGAGTGTTTGAGGTTTGTGGCTGATGAGGAGTGAGCAGAAGTAGAAGCACAACCCAGAATCAGATCAATACTTCTGAAATTAGTGAACATTTCTAACGAAAATCCATTCAAAAACCTGTACTAATGCTAAACAATTGCGATTCCAAACCAAAATTACAGACATTGAGAGACGGATAACATAAATATATTAAATTTTTAAATACATTTTATAAATAGTGACAAATCGAGTAAATGCTTCTGTTTTTTAGTCACTTTATCTTATAATTAGACAATACATGGCATGTATTCAATACATTGTATTGCAAGCTTCGCCACAAAACTATTTTTATCTTAATATTATCACTCTTTTAATCTTTTTTCATTTCTATGATTAATAACAATTGTGTTTACGCTCTTTGAGGTTTTTGAATAAGAGTATCAATATCAGGTCAACATTTCATTAGGCACTTTGTTTGCCTTTCAAATTTTTGGAAAATTAATTTTAGTTTTGACCAGTAAAGAATAAGTTTAAGAATTGATGTAAAAGATTGTGTTTTGAATATAATTTGCTTTAATCTCACTGTGTTTTACATGTAATAAATAAAAATCAATGAAACAACACAAAAATGAACATAAACTTTTCAATTAAAAACTAAAAGTTTTACAAAATTTTATTTTTGAAGATTATTCCTAAAATATGATAACGCGCTGCTTATCATTTGGCTGACGTCCTCCCGGTTCGCACTGGTATTTGAGTCACAATTCACTGAACACTTATTATTATCCATCATTTCATCGCAATTATGGCTAATGTCTATAGGTTTTTGGCAATTTATGTCTAATTTAGGAGTTTCTCTCACAATAGGAGTTCTTTGGCGATCACTTGAATTATTTCTGAATTGTTTTCTCGAGTCATAACTAGAAGGCGGAGCGAAGTCTGCATTTCTTTCATCTCTTCGGTCTTCGATGTAATTGTTATAGAGATTAGGCTTTCGTTTGGGTCAGTATAGGCGGTTGTGAACGCCGTTTAGGAGAAAGGGCTGCAGGGTAAGGGACTGTGAGCTACCGTGCCCAGACCCAAGCCCACGTCGGTACCCAAGTGAGAGCAGGTGGAGTAGCAGCCTTAGTGTGCTACTTTCTTTAACCTCGAGAGCAATGCCTTTCCTTTGCGCCACTTTTGCCAATCTTTGGCGTAATAGTTGTTTGCGTTTTTGTTTCAGATTCTGTTTCTGCTGTTTCTGAGTCTTCGTCTGTTCTCTCATCTGATTCAAGAGATCCATCTGTTGTTGTCTCGTCTGTTGGTCTTCAGAGAAGGCATAGTACGCCACTCCGTGGTCTCGGATCTCATTTCGCTTAACGCTCTGATAGTGAACATTCAGATTATCTCTTTGCGGTCCATCTGTTTCACCCGTCAGTTCATTCCTGGCGCCGGTCTCCCAATTGCGGCGCTCTATCTCTCGCCGCAAATCATCACTCAATAACTCATTACTCGAAGACAACTCTGGAACCGATGGTATGTCTGACTTATCAACGGTTGTATTCCTTTGAAACGATTGTCTGTCGATATCTACAAAGTGTTGCAAATCTTTCTTAAGACACTTTCGACTTCGACCTAAAGAGTCGACNAGACAACTCTGGAACCGATGGTATGTCTGACTTATCAACGGTTGTATTCCTTTGAAACGATTGTCTGTCGATATCTACAAAGTGTTGCAAATCTTTCTTAAGACACTTTCGACTTCGACCTAAAGAGTCGACAAATTCAGTCCATTCTTCCTCCTCTTCTTCAGTCTCTTTATCGTTGTTTTCAATCATTGGTTCACTCTTTGAATCACTTTTAGTTCTCACGTCTTCGTAAGCCTTTCGATGGAAATCGACGAGAATTCTGTCGTCAATGTCTTCATCCAAGTCTTCGTCATCTTTGTTGGCGTTCAGAAGGTCTGGATTTTGAGTCCACTTCTCATACAATCGACTCTTCATTTCCAGCATTTCTCTCGACCTCTTCAGCGCCTTCTCCTCTTCAGCCAACTCTTCGCTCAATTCAGTGACCCTTCCCTTCGCTGTCACTGATGTCTGCAGTCTTTGTTGTCTCAACTCGTGGTCATTCTTCTGACGGATCCGTTTCCCTAACTTATACTTCGTTTGGTTAGTGTTTGCGTATAAGTTGTCGTTGTCTTCAACCAATTGGCGCTGAGTTGACGACAACTTCTTCAGACGAAACGCCTCTTGTTTTCGATACAACTCTGCCTTCAAGTCGATCATTGAGGACATGTTGCCGTCGATTAGTTTCCCCTCATTCATGGCTTACCACAAGATTATCACCACTTTTTCGCTATGAAGACACTGTTTTGTGTCAAACATTCAAAACCCAAACAAACTCTTCATTTGTTTTGACTCCACTATAAGGCCGCTCACAAACACCGTTACGTTTTGTTGTTTACGTTTTGGTTACGTTTAGCCCATAGACCCCACCGTCTTATATGTATTGTGTGTTGTGAATGGTTTGCAATTAAAACTCCTAATGAAGTGATGAAATAAATGAGTTTTTGCGTACTTTTGAAGGACTTCTCAATGCATTCACGCATTGCTGTGACAGTCATCTCATGATTGTCTCGTTTTGTCGTCTTTTGTCTTAAATCTCATCGAAATCCATGTCTTTCTGCAGTTGGAAGAGTGAAGTCTTGAGGGACTGCTGGCGATTAGGTGAGTGACTCGCGAGTGTGCCTCACATGACATACCTGTCCACTAATGAGTCTATACGACCTCTTCAGGTATATACGTGTGCTCTGAATGCGATCACCAGCTGTTCTCGTCTGTGTCCAAGTTCTCACACCACAGTCCATGGCCTGCATTCTCAGAGACACTCCTCGAAGACAGTGTCAAACGCAGGCCAGAGATGGGAGAGGGATATGTCGGGAGAAACGCTCTGAAGGTATGCCTTCATTGGACCCAATGCTGTGATAATCGGTTGCATTGACTCATGTGTTTGTCTTTGATGTTGAGGTGGTTTGTGGTAAATGTGGTAACGGTTTGGGACACGAGTTCCTGAAGGACGGACCGGACGGGAAGTCCCGCTTCTGAATATTCTCGGAGTCTCTCAAATTCGTGTCCAGAGATGGTATGCAATGATGGACTCAATTGTCTGCTAATAATATATATTGGGACACGAGTTCCTGAAGGACGGACCGGACGGGAAGTCCCGCTTCTGAATATTCTCGGAGTCTCTCAAATTCGTGTCCAGAGATGGTATGCAATGATGGACTCAATTGTCTGCTAATAATATATCTGTGTTTCCGATGAACAGAATTATCTCCGGATATATTGGAGAGACTCAACCGCTTTGGAACCGTTGGAAGCGATGGAACCGAAGTCAACAATAATGATGCAAATGATAGCAATAATAAGACTAAGAATTGTGATCTTCAATAGATTTAGAGGAATACAAAATTCTTCTTCAGATCACTTCGGATGACGTCTTTCTGTTAAAACTCTTTGAGCGACAGACAGACCGAAGAGTCTTATAATTGTCTTTATTTTTTATTAAATAGTATTTGTTTTGTTAACATATTTTGTTAAGTTTTTCTAATTCGTTGTAAACCTAAAGTATTTTAAATTATGATTTGTTAAAATTAAATGAAAACTAATTACTCTAATACTGAGTATTTGCAAAACGGATATTCTGTGCGGATGTTATGTAACATATTTTTCGCATAACTAATTTCAACATTAATTATATCAAACATTATAAATCCAAGTCCTGTTGTACTGATAAACTCATATTAAAACTAAGAATTGATTGGATTTTTGTTGGAAAAAGTATTTTTAAAAGATTAAATTTCTTAAATATTTAATTTTTAATACCTGTAATACTGTAACATTCATAGCAATAAAATACTTCTCAATTTGCGATCCAGAGTTTAAAATTGAAATTAAATTTTAAAAAGCAAAATAGCTATTAATATCCAAAGATTCTTAAATATTCCATGCATTTAATTACACTTACAGTCATACATACAGTAATTTACAAAAAGCAAGTATTATTTGAGTTCACAGAATAATATTTTCAATTCTGTGCACAACATTCCAATACATACTGTAGTAATGAGGGTCAGTCTGCAACTCAAGTGAGAGCTACACGAAACTCATAGTAGAGTAGAAACCATACATGAGTATAGAATCCAATTGTACTTTACAGTAAACAGTGTATAATTTAGAGGCATATATTTTAGTATTATAATTTTAAACTCTAGTAATTCTGAGGTACAGAATCTTATAATCCATGTCCACCCCCAACCCCAACCCCATCCCCATTCATCCAGATTACTTCAGTTGGGATAAAGACGAGATATATCGAGACTTCTGGAAAACAGGTATTCATTAATATTCACATTTCAATATATATATTACAAGAATAGGTAACATTTTAATTGTTGTATCAATAATTGTGAATTCTGTACGGAAAGGGATATACGTGTGCTCTCAATGTGATCACGAGTTGTTCACTTCAGTGTCCAAATACAGACACCACAGCCCGTGGCCCGCATTCTCTGAGACACTACTCGATGCCAGTGTTCAACGAAAACGAGATTTAGGCGAAGGATTTGTCGGAAGATTTGCTTTTAAAGTGTATCATAATTTACAATTGAAACACAATTTAGATAATAAATAGATATTTTAAAAAATATTTAGATAACGTGTGGTAAATGTGGTAATGGTTTAGGACATGAGTTGGTCAATGAGGGGCCAGAAGGAAAGTCTCGCTTTTGAATATCTTCAGAGGCTCTCAAATTTATTCCCAAAGAAGGTATAGATTTATTGAAAATATTGGTAATATTCAATTAACTCCATTATTAATGAACAGAATTATCACCAGAAATGGTCAACAAATTGAATATTTTGGACATAAAACATAATAAACTCAATGAGACAAATGATGACAATAAGTGATTACTTGAATGTATTAGAGATAGCATCAGATGAAGACCTTTTGTTAGAGCTCGTGGAGAGACAGAAGAGACTGAAGATATTGTTATCTTTAATAAAACACTATTTTCTAAATGCTATTTAAATATTTTATTTAATGGTAATGCAAACCAAACAAAGATTAGTAACTATTAAAGAAAACACACAAATGTTAGACTTATATAATGAAATGAGTTTTGTTAACAAAAGTATTAAAATGTTAATTAAATGCCAAAAACAAAGTGTTAAATGAAGGAAGTCGTGTTATTAGTAGAAATAGTAGATTGGATTATAAGGGCTGCAAATGGAAAATAATAAAAAATATTAATTCATAGGATTATGATGTCTTTATTTCAATAACAATCTAATAATTATATAATATATAAGTGTAATAAATAGTTTTAATTGATTAGATCACTATTATAGACAAACGGAGTGTCCATTAATTGCTTATTAACATTAAGCGTGTTATAGGGGTTACAAAAGAAGGGAACCCAATATATAAAAATGCAATTATTATTAATCTTATCGTTAACTCCGGAGTCATACTTGGGAACCAATTGTTGCGACTGATGAGCAATATATGGATTGAGGGGCAGTTGAGAGCTCTGAAAGTCGACACAGTTTTGGTACATGTTTTGGTATCGCTTGAGCTCCTGGTCCACTGGGGTTTCCTGAATCCACTTACAGGGACTGCTCTGCAAATAGTGTTGATTTGATTTAATGGGAGTTTCCGCACCCGATGGTTGAGATTCGCATTCAGACACCGATTTCTTGCGCTGAGATTTGGGTCTCTGAGGCCGAGCGTAAGACACCTGAATTCGCCTCATATTCTGACCGTTGATAGTCTTGAAGAATTCCGGATCTAAACCACGAAACAATGAGTTGACATCAAACTAGACAATTCAATATGACTACGAATACCTGTGGCCGTTCGGTAAGCTATTTCCGTGTCTTCTCGGGTCTCGTAATGAATGAAAGCGAAGTCACGAATCTTTTTCACTCTTTCGACGTGAAGGTCATCGAAGCTAAAGATGTTCTTCAGGTCTGTTTCCTCGACATTAATGCCAAGGTTTCGGATGTGAAGAACTCTCACCTTTTAAAACGAAATAAATAATTAAATATTTTGTAAAACAAAAGCAGTCAAAAAATCATTACTTGATTCATAATCTCGTCGTCGACCTCAGGCTCAGGATCGGCCCAATCGACGCGAACCTCATGATTGCGCCATAACTTGAATCCGGGAATCATTCGGCTCTTAGCCATCATTGCCTCGTAATGGGACTCGTATTCAACGAAACAAAAGCCGCGATTCTTGTTGTTATAGACAGACATATAGAGGATAATAGATTTGACGCCATCGGTCACGCGCTTCATCTCTTTGAGGACATCCTTTTCCTTCTTATACTTCGGGATTCCGCCGACAAAGAGTCTCGTCTTCTCCCACGAGAGCATTACGCCAATCGAGTGGTCGCCTCTCAGCTCAAACCTGTCCATCATTTTGGCCGCATTTTTGGCACTCTTATGATCATTGAATTGGATGAAAGCGTAGCCGCGATTAGTGCCACTGAAGTCCATCATTAGTCGCATCTGAAAGATGGGCCCAAACTTTTCAAACAATGGCAGCAACTCGTCTTCATAGCAGTTCCGCGGGAGGCGTCCGATGAAGATCTCGCATCCCTTTCCGGGCTTCGGCAGTGACTCATACTCTTTGGATCTGAAGAGCCGTTGGCCCTGTATTTGCTCGATGCAGAAGTCGGGCCATCTCTGCGCCACCAAAGCGTCGATTTGCTTCCGTTTGTCGTCGTCGAGCGGATTCTTATAATCCATTTCGGATTTATTATCAATAAATCCTTTAAAATGTGATTTTAAAAGTCCGAAAACTTTGCGTCAATAG